GGCTGACTACAGGAAGCCCGAGGCAGAGTTGCTCTGCCCCAGGCTTCCTGGAATCAGCCACTGATCAGTTTCAGCAGCAGCTGACTTGGGGACGCCTGGGTTTCTTAAGTTGAATCTGTATGTAAGTCAGAACTGGCGTCCAGATTCAGCCGCGGTTGAAACTGATCAGTTTCAGCAACGGCTGACGCCAGTTCCGACTTACATACAGATTCAACTTAAGAACAAACCTACAGTCCCTATCTTGTACGTAACCCGGGGATTGCCTGTATAAGCTTTTGCTTATCGGTTAATCAGTTACCCAACTATACTTTTACATCCCTCATCTCATCAAGTATAACCAAGTATATAGGCTGTAAATGATGCATTTAGGATTGTGGGAACATGTGTCCAGCTTTCAAGTGAGCCTTCCAGCCTCTTCCATGAATGGGAAAAACAGAGTGGAAGGAAGGAAGTTGATCTTCATAACCCACCCTGTCTCACAGAGACTATTTATTAGGACTGTGTGATCAAAAATACCACTGTTAAACAGTAATAGAATACCATTTATTTAAATTTTTGGATGTTTTCTACCTTTTCAAGTATATTGATTTCAATTACACCACAGAATATAAAGTGTAGAGTGCTCACTTTATTTTTTATTACAAATATTTGCATTGTAAAAAAAATACATTTTTCAATTCACCTTAGACAAGTCCTGTATTACAGGTTGAACCTCTCTAGTCTGGCATGCTCAGAACTTGACTGGTGCCAAACCAGAGAATTTGCCATACCACAGGAAGTCAATATTTTCTAACAGCATTACCAACACTTACACTGCTTATTGGGCTCTGAGAAGACTTTTTTAGGGGTAAATTAAAACTGAACAGCCGCACCGAACACTGAAAGCTGTAAAGAAACTTTATGGAACCACAGGACAATGGAGAGTGCCCCGCAGAAGTGATCCAAGAGGCGCTATTCAGCAGCTGGTGCCCGCCCATCAGAGAGGATGACTTTTCACAGCAATGCATAGCCAGGAGTCCTCTGTGCACAAAAGTACATTAGGAAGGAAATTTAAGGGCAAGTGTTTTTCCTTTGTTATTTTGTTCTTAAAGTTGGGTGGAGAAGAAAGCCCAGAGGCTAGTAGCACCACTATTAAAAACACAGATTGTGAATGTGAAAATTTGGCTCTCTTTTGATAGGGGACACTTTCATCCTTTCCTTTCCTGACGAAGGACAGGCAAAACATATTAGTCATCCCCTAACTTAGTACCCGGTATAAGTAAAGGATTCTGCCAGCACTGGCCTGAGGACTCTCCTAGTGCCCTAAGAAGGAACAATTCTTAGTGAAGGATGACAGTGTGATAGAAAAGGAGAAACTGGAAATCTGTCATGAAGTCCCAAAACACCCACACCATCACAGCCTCAGGGTAGTCAAGCTGTGACAATCTGAATGAATTAATTTCAACAGATTGAGTGAGACTAAGTGTCTCACAGAAACACACAGGGAAAAAAAGCAATCACAAGTGGAAGAGACTTTAAAAAGCTACCTTAAAACAGATCCAAACTCAGCAAGATTCACAGTAAAAATGTTGGAGATGTATAACTGATGATGGAGATATTAGAGGTAGCATGGAGCCACGCCAAACACAAATTCTGGAAGAAGTACTCTAACTAGCTAATGCTATATTGAATACAGGGGAAGAGGAACACTTTTTCCTGCCTTGTCTATTGCTAAACTATTCCCTGGAAACCACATTTATAAACAACAAAGGACCAAATTATTCCATTTACTCTTCTTGTGTGCCAAACTCTATACAACACAACTGGAAATCCTCCAAGGTACCAGCTTTGCATGAATGGATTAGAGCAGTGACATACCACAAGATCAATGAAAGGCTTGTACAGAAAGAAAAGACTTCACAGTTCTATTTTTTTTTTAAATGGTATTTATGGACAGACTTACAACTAACAACAAATTTGGCCAGATTTTCCAGGCCCTACACTTTGTGTACCCATTTACACCAACACAGAATGGGATGAAATGCTTCTGATTTAGTAGCATCCAACAGCACATAAGAGAAGCTTTAGTTTGAGACCCCTGGACTTCAGTTTACGTTAAGGCCAGTGGCAGTCCTCAAATCCTCCTAGTGGGCCAGCAGGCGCCTCCCTCAGGCAGGGCTCAGGGAAAAGGCAGCAGGGCTCTCCATGCTCCTCCACATCTCCCGGCTTGCCTACCACCCTGGCTGATTTAAACCCTCTCCCTCAGGGACCTATGGTACCACCTCTGGTAGCACACTGGGGATAAGTGGCTGCTAGCTCTGTGCTACTGCCAGCACGTCTCTATGGCCTAGGGAGATGTGTGCGGACCTATCCCATACATAAGGCAGTTTGGGGCAACTACCCCAAGCCTTAAATTTTTTGCGGCAGCTACCCTAACCATCGTATGGATGGGATGGTCTCCCATACCCAGTTAGGCTGCAGGGCCCTCAGCGGGCTGGAGCTGGCAAAAGGGTTGGGGCCCCCTGCCAGGGGACCCCCTGCCAGCAGGAGCCACAGAGAAGCAGAGCTAAGTAGCAGCCTGCTCCACTTCTCACTGCCACAGTGAAGCAGAGTGACTGGGCTGGCCTGGAAGAGGGAGGCAGAGCAGATGCTGCTGCAGAGTGAGTGCTAAGGATGTTAAATTTAGATTAATCAACTAATCAAATAGCCAATGTAAACAAGGGCCCCTCCGCCTACTGGCTCTTGCAACATTTCAAAGGTGGAAGCACCGCAAGGAGCGTGGGGCAAGTGGGGAACTCAAACAGTCCCCCACTGGCCCTGTGCTCCCCGCTTTTGAAATATACAAGAGCTGGGGTTTGTTACATTTCAAAGACAGAAGTGCCACCACTTCCCCGCTGCGCCCCTGCCCCATCTCCTCACGGAAGTAACTAGTCAACTATCCAATAAGCATTTGCTTATCCAATAGCCAACTAGAGGCTTTCATCCCTAATGAGTGCAGGGCACCCAACCCCTACTAGGGATATTAGCAACTAGTTGACTAT